GAAGAGGAGACAACCGAGAGGAGCAGTCAAGGACAGCAGCAGGAAGAGGGGAAGTAGGAGGAGGGGAGCGCACCTCAGCAAAGGCAGCAACCGAGAGCGAAGCGGGGGCCAAAGAAACCTCCATAGCAGGAACAGGGGGCACGCAACCACCGAAATGGGAGGGGGAAGGAGCGATAAAGTCAGAAGTAGGGGCCGAGGAAGAAAGCGAAGCCTTCTTACTCGCCGGGGAGGAGGAAGGAGAGGAGCCAGGCTTATGCTTCTGACTTAATGAGACAGGTGTCCCAGTAACTACGTACTGGGCAACGGATTCTAGCGTCTCAACAGGAGAAGCTGAACGAGAGTACACACGACGGCTGTTAGGAGAGCGATGGACATCAGCCCGCATTGACAGGCGACAGGGAGAGTCAACAGACGGAGGAGAAGGATGGGAAGGAGGATCGGAGGGAGACGAGGAAGAAGACACAGGAGATATGACAGACCGGGTAGAAAGAAAGGGAACCCCAGACAGAGGACCAGGAGGGGGACCCTTCGGGACAGAACTCAAAAGAACAGAGGAGGGGGCAGTGGGCGTATCAGGGTCCAAGGCCCGGAAACGGTTGCGAGTCTGAGGAAGGTGGAAGGACGAGGAGAGGAAGAGTGCAACACACGAGCATAAGAGACATTAGCATAAGGCGGGAGCCGGCAAACCTGGCGCCTCGCCTCAGGAAAAGACAAACGCTCCCGGTGCTTCAAGTTGAGGATGGCTGCCTCAAGCTTGTAATGGATACACGCACGGGAGAAGGTAGGATGGGCCTCACCGCAGTTGAGGCAGCGAACCTGGGAAGAAGTGCACTCCGACTTAGAGTGACCTTCGCCCCCACACAAAGGACAGAGAGAGACAGTCCCAGAGCAGCGGAGGGCACCATGCCCAAACCTCCAGCACTTGTTACAGAGCCTAGGAGAAGGAATGTACTCCTGGACAGAGCACCTGGCACCAGCAAGAATGACAAAGGGTGGAAGGGTCCTACCATCAAAGGTAATCTTCACAACCCGAAGGGGTTGACGGCGATGACCACGAGGGGGACGAGTAAACGAGTCTACCTGGAGGACAGAATGGCCTTGGGCATCAAGGATATGCCGAATATCATCGTGGCAGTCCTGCAGATTCCGAACACCGGTCGCAACATGGGGCGGGAGGAGAATAGTGCCAACACTGGCATTCAACCGAGCGTTCTTTGAGACCCGAACAGGGGTCTCGCCAAGGCAGGATAAGGCACGAGAAGGAGCAGCAACGACACGTGTACCGAGACGAGTGGGGTTGAAAACAGAGGCATCCACGGAATCAACAAGATGCCGATGGAGGGAGAAATCGTCAGGAGGCGTAGAATCAAGAGGGAGGAGATCAAAGTATTTGGCCCATGAAGCGGGACCAAACAAGGCCTGATAAAATCAGTAATTGCAGGAAGGTCAAAGGAGGAGCAAAGTCGGCGCCCAACACAGTGGGGGCTACAGAGCCTGGTCTTCCAAGACAGTCCGACTCAGGGGCATGGTCGCCCACCCCACGAGCCTGAGAGGGTACAAGAGAAACATTCAACGACATAAATATGAAGAGACATTTTCATCCACGAATGTGTCCCCATACCCACCATGGAGCCACAATTAGAGGCAGGACACCCAACAAGAAGCTATTGCCGATCATGCCGGGGCCCCCTAGGGGTGCGTCGTGAATATACGCCCCACAAACGCCACCTTAAGAACCGTCAGTCCGTCGAGATCGGGTTCAGTGACGAAAGGAGGATTGACAATAAAAGGCTCCCCTTGCTCTCAACGTTGGGTACTACAGTTCTACTAGTGCAAGAGTATGCCTCCTCAAGCACCCAGTGGAAGTCAAAATAGAAGAAGTCCAAAGGAATAACCAAAACAAGCAAAAGGTCGGCAGGAAACGACAAGCAGATAGGAGAAGAGGGGGGAGAAAAACGAAACATTAGGAAAAGGAAAAGTCGTTCAGGCACAATTAGAGAGGACAGCAGCAGGAGCACAAGGCTACAAAAGGACAGATGTTCTGTCCCATGGAGCATCACACTCCGGCAGCCGCCCACCAAGCCCCCCCCACCCAGAAGGATCACCCTTTCTGAGTACACAGTGGGCAACATCTGCAACAACGACCTGAACAGAGGAAGACCATAAGGGAAAAACAAGAGATCATTCACAGTGAGACAACGTGATGTCTCACTACAGACAAGTGTTAAAACATAGGGGAAAAACAAGTGTCTATAGTCAGATTCTTAGTAAGACAAGCAAGCAGTGAACCACAACCAGGTCCTAGTGGTATGCCTGCAAAATGTGAGAGAGAGAGAGAGTACCCCAGATATGTCATCACTGCTGCTATAATGGAAGAGGACTCCCCTTCCAAACACTAACACCTCTCCTCCTCCCCCCTTTCCTCACCGTCTTCCAAATGCCAAGAAGAGTCCTCAATAAAGGTAAGAAATACTTGTATACACTGTAGTACAAAATATAAGTAGTAGCATGTATAAAATATATTTTTAAGTTAATATTTTTGGGGTTAGGAACAGATTAATTCAAATTACATAACTTCTTATGGGAATTTTTTCGGTTTTCGAACAGTCTCTGGGATTAAATTTGAAAACGAAGGTACCACTGTAGTGGTATACCAAAGGGTTCAGTCCTAGCACCAGTAATGTTCACTGTCTATATGAACAATCTATCATAAGGAATACAGAATTATATGAACATGTTTGCTGATGATGCCAAACTACTAGGGAAGCTAAGAAACTTAGATGATTATCATGTCCATCAGGATGATGTGGACAAAAAAGTATGGAGCAGCACTTTGTTGATGGAATTTAATGTGAATAAATGCCTCATTATGAAGTGTTGAAGAGGAGAAAACAGGCCACACACAATATGCAAAATCTAAGTATAATTACAGGATGAGACCCATCTTTCCAGCACCCCCAGTAATCCTATAACGCATTGAAACTAATGACTGCGCTTTTGCACCAGTAGTTAATAGTTTTGATGGTACAGAAGCTTTAAAGAACTGATAAAAAAAAAAAAAAAAAAAAAAGATCTAGGGGTGGTCCTGAATAAACAACAGTCGCACGATAAAAAACATCGTGTGCAAAGAATATGCTATGCTTTCATACTTCAGAATTGCTTTTAAATACATGAAAGATTTAATACTTATTTAATATTTCGTATTAAATGAAATATTTTAGAAATTGTTCATGACCTTTGTGAGACCAAAAATGAAATATGTAGCAACACAGTCCATCTCAAGCAGCACATCAATAAACTGGAAAAGGTGCAAAAGCATGCAAATAAATGGCATCCAGAACTAAAAAATAAGAGCTATAGGAGAGGCTAAAAGTATTAAAGCTAATTGTAGTTACAGCTCTCATCCTGTAACTACAATTATATAATTACCCTTAGGTAATTACCAGGCAAGAAAGTGTGCTGTCTGGTGGTCTGAGACATCAGGCCACTATGTCAACACAGTAGAAAACTAGAATTTTCCTTGTGGAAGGTGGGGGGGATTAGCTTCAAAGTGGAAATTGCTTAGGGTTATTTTGTGATACTCTCTCCCAATTTTGAGGACAGTTGACCTTGATAATGGATTGATCTCAGCTACTACTACTAACTCTCCACTGCATTATTGTGTGAGGTGAGGGGCATGTTAACATGAAATGGTACATACTTCCAGTAGAAAAAGGTTGTCATTGAATCCTAGAATATCCAATATGACCTCAGGGTACCCATGCCATTATGAATGAGAGCACCAACTTCACATCTCTCATAGACGTGATGTTAAATTTAAACATGCATCCAAAAGGTTAAATAATATGGTCCCTTAAAACATTTCTATAGATGAGAAGTCAAATAAACACGTAGCTTTCTCCAATATTGAAACATTCCAACCTTCATAATTTAGTTATAACACTACTGTATATTAACTGCTTGTGTACAATTATCTATGCTATTTACATAGGACATCCTTGACCTGTTTACAGAAATGCTCCTCACAAATGTAGTTATATTTATTATTATTATTAATAGAACTGTATAATTAATGCTAACCAAAATAAAGTTAACACATCTTTCTACACTAGTATGAGTTTTGGGATTTATAATAAGAAGCATCAGCAACAAAATATAATCATCCGCCAGCTATATCTACCACTGGCAAGGGTCCATTTGGACTGCTCTGTGATATTCTCATAGTCATACAACAGAAAGAATGTAAAATCTCTAGAGAAAATTACAAAGAAGTATAATAAGGTATATACTGGATTTGGGGACCATTTCTATGAAGATAGATTGAAATGTCTCAATGTGCACTCACTATACACATGCAAGACAAAGGGAGGAGGTGTTGTGATCAAGGTTATATGGGTTAGGGGCATGAAAAAGAGGGAATATAAACATGGCTCTGAAATTTTCAGAAAAGATCAGAACCCATAACAATGGGTGCAAGTGGGAGAAATTTTGTTTTAGGAGGGACATAGGGAAGTACTAGTTTGATAATAGGGTTGTGGATGGGTAGAATGGACTGCCCTCTAGCATTAAGAGACAGTTTAACAGATTTAAAGAATAGATGGATAGGTGCAAGGGCGAGATAGGGTCGATTTAAATGTTACTTGCCTGGTATTGGTCAATTGGCCTGTTGCAGTCCAAAAATGTGATCCAAAAATTTAACCAATACATTTCTTAAACTAAGATTATATGACACTATATAATCAACTATATAAACTACTGATAAAATATATAAGGAGTTAACACTACTGATATATTTTAATGCAGCTCTAAGATTTGCAATGCAGGGTAACCCATGAACAAAGAGGCAAATTTAGCATCAGAACAACCATGGTTATTCTTCAGTGCATGGTTATTTAACAAAGTGCACCACTAGCTATTTACATAACCTTACAGAACATATTTCCACCTTTTTTGACACCAACAATTTCATTTAGCTGTGCTACAATAATCTGGCCACACACCTTTAACATTAGATGCCCTATTATTTTGTTTGCTCTGCTGCATTTTGTGAGGGGGTGGGGGAAGCAGCTGGCTGTAAGCAGCAACCACCTGTTCCAGTTTCTGTAAACAAAAATTATTCACTAATACAATCATATTACTGTACATCAAGGAATTATACTTGGACAAGACAAAGAATATCTGTAACTTGAAATTAGTAAAGCAAGAGTGGTAGGAGAGGTGAATATCATAATGAAAGGAAGGAATGTTCGCATATGAATTAAACTGTTCACCCAGCAGTAAATAGGTACACGGGAGTTAGACAGCCGCTACGGGCTGCTTACTAGGGGTATGTAAAAAAAAAAAAAAAAAAAAAGAGGCCCAGTCAAGGACTGGGCCTCTGGGACGCTAAGCACGGAAATCATCTTAAGATAACCACTGGTCCCAAGTATCTTTTAGAAAAGCAGCTGGTGTATGTGGGTTGGGTATAGCAACAAGGAAGCATACGAGAGATGCAGTATGATTGAAAGATGAAAGGGAATGAAATGTGAAGTTATGGAGTGGGTGAAGACAATACACCGAGGTGATATGAACATGTTAGAATAATGCCCAAGAATCATTTGTGAGAAGAGTATTCAAAGGGTGATATACAGGAATCTTATGGTAGAGGCAGACAACCAAAATCTTAGCAAGGAAGAGTGGGAACTATATATGAAAATAAGGATGGGGGGGGGGAATGGAAGGGCGAGCGAGTGAGTTCGAAAGAGCACAAGTTGTGTGTGGTAGTCTCTCCTGGAGAAACGTTTGTGGCCACCCTTAATGGGGAGCTATAGAGGCATCAGGAATGCCTACATGCAGAAATATACTCAACTTACAAAAAAAAAAAAAAAAAAATTGTCGAATGCATGGAATACTGAATGACTTGTGTAAGAAGCTCACAACCTCTGATCCAGAGATTGAGCATTATTTATACCAACACCACCTTCAGCATCGTGATAATCTTACATTTAACTTAAGAGGATAGTTGGTGTGCTACAGTAATCAACAAGGCTATAGATAACAGCAGATGGTAATCACTAGTAATTAGATTTGTATGTACAGTGTTAAATTACAGAATAAATATAAGCATTAAACCCACATTGGTACTGCATGTACACTTGGCTATGTACTTCAAAATAGGAAAAGAATAAATTTATTATACAGTACTGGTAATTAGACTAGAGAAAAAAAAGATGAACTAATTGCTCAATTTGTGTAGAAATGGATGTTAACATTATTTAAATTATTTAAAGAATAAAGCATAATTATATACTTGCATAATACTATATGCTTACCTTTTTATCCTCCGGAGATTTGCTAGCAGAGAGTTTACTGCTTATTGACTTGTATCTATCATTGATGGCATCCTTATCTACACCTGGAAATTATAAATAATAATCACCATCATTGTATCCCCTACCAACTTGTGTGTGGTAGAGAGTCATCAACCCAGAGAACATAGGGAAACACTGGGATATTGAAAAGAAGGTTTAAAGATATTGCAAATTACTCCCATTCATCGTATCTTTTATACATTAAACAACGAAATGGAGAAGTAGCACCACTACACTCCAGCAAATCATCACAGCATTAGCTACTGTGTATCACCTGCTTATACCCCAAATTAGGCAACACACACACACACACACACACACACACACACACACACACACACACATCCACTGGGTACGTGTGTTAAGGTTTTCTTGCCTTTTTCCATTTGGAAACACTGACTCACTTGACCTTTCTGTTGGGTATTCTTGGAGTACACAACACCTATACTACCCTCTTAAGTGCTATTCACCAGAGCCTGTAGCAGTGGCTACCATGTTAGTCTATAAGCCTCAAGAAGGGACGAACATTGATGATAAAAGAATAGACCAGAAAACATCCTTTGAACTGGGAAAGAGAATGGATACAATCCTTTGTGAATATCCAAATGCACCTCAAATGAACCACTGAATGAACCCATAATTATCACCACCTGATCCACCACTGGAAGATGTCTCTTTACCAACCCTCATATCCTTGCTGAGTGGTATCATTACTAGAAGTGTACTGATACCAATAGTTTGACCAATATTGTCTTATTATCTGATACTGATTAAATAGATAACTTTTTTTTATCTAACACAAGGATAACAATTTTACATATTTTTTGTACACATTTTCAATGGCTTTAGCAGTTAGCACACAAGAGTTCCTCCTGAAATGAGTTGGAAACAAACTGACATCAAAATAAAAATATGAATAATAGAAACCAAGTCTGTTTTAAATACTGTAAAATCAAACTAGCTACAGTATGCACAGTGTTACTGTACCCTTAGTCAACCCTAGCATACTGTACCCACTTGAGTCTCCAACATGTATTATGGCACCTACTTAAGTGTTCAAAATAAATAATAATAATTTGTATTTAAAAATATACAGGACAACATGATACAATCAATGGTTGCATAGTCATTGCTTAAAAGTACTTCTGTAATAAAGCCACTACCACTCAAAGCGTACAATTAATCAGAAACTATTATTCCTAACAATAAATCTAAAACGGTAAAACAAAAATGACTGTAAAGTGTTTGTGTTGGAGTATGCAGTAATTGTTTTATTATTAGGATCTTCAGGCTAAAATTTCATACTGAAGTTTTTAATTTTTATTTTGGTATTTGATAGGGAAGCATATTTCTATTAATCTTTGATATATTAAAGCTAGGTTTGATTCCACGGTCAAAATATAATCCAGCATTACAAATATCGTACTCTAAAAATTATGTCAAACTGCTATAAATACAGTATTAATATTGTCAAACAGCATAATATAATGGAATGTGATAAATATATTGGCCACAAAGCAGATGAGTTATGGTCATTTGTACACAACTTTGTACAGGGTTAGTCACCCATAGTAGACGGTTTGGTGTCCCATTAACACTGACATGATGCAATCCACAACAGATGCCTAACTCCAAAATATGCACATTTACACTAGCAGAAAAGAGGCATCAGGTTTAAAGAAATGTACCCAGAAGTCTCAACCTGCCCAGGAATCACACCCAAGCTCAATCAGTTATTAGGTGACGATGCCACACCCACACAACCCAATATACACAGAAATCGCAATAGCGTGATATATATCAAACAGGCATCTGTGATCATCCTGCACGTAAGTTCGAACCCTCACCACGGCCCTTGTGGATTTATTCAACCCAATATACTTAACCTAAAGAAATACACTAGGCATATGTTAGGTTAGATCGGAACAGACATAGAATAGACTGCATTAAAGAAACCGAGTAAATTCACTTGACATGGTGGTGGTGCCAAGCCCCATTCACTGTAGAGCACTGCCGGGGGGGGGGGGGGCGGTTGTTAATATAACACACAATGTTGTAAGGAAATAATGTAGTGAAGAGTGACCTAAACAACAGCAATGTACACCGAGTTACAGTCACAGTATTTAAGAGGTTAAATATCTACACCTGGAAACATCAGCTCAATATTTACACCACAATGGTCAATTTAATGGAAGATTCTGGAGAAATGTTTTATCTCCCACAAAATACTGAAATAAAATGTAGAACGAAAATTCTTTAGGAAATATCAGCTAATATACCCTTCCCTTGCAGAGGTCTCTAGGCTCTCTAGACAATTTATTATGCTCTTACAAATAAGTGGCACCTATAAATTTGAAATTATGAAAAAAAATATTGAAAGTTAGAGTAATAGTATGTTAAACAACTGTTAAAATAAACATCAAAGACCAACAACTGGTGATGACTAGTTTGTTAATGAACAAAATGGCAACTTTGGCAAATATAAGATATTGAAATGTAATACGTACGACAACCATTATGCCATTTGCGATTAACAGAAAATATATTCCAGGAGTTGAACTTGAGATATTAAGTGTCCCAGGAAAATGAAGTGTCCAAGAGGACAATATTTGCCAGAGCGCCAGCGGCCCGGCCAACACTACACCAACACAAAACAACCCACCTAAGGGTAGGCCAAGGATCCTAAACGCCTCCTTATCCGATATTCCCATGTTGCTATCATAAGGGTTTGGGCCTTAATATTACCAAGAAATATGAAGTTTTAGCTCCTGTTCCGTAAGACCATGGTCACAGGTTTGAGACATGATTCACTCTCCGCTGAGGATCACCAAGAAGAGGATCACAACACCTCCCGACTTGGGGCCTAAACCGGTTTATTACAATTACAATAGCGGCTTGGATTCTTTTGTATGAGAGAGTTTACCTTCTTATTGTATTGCACATGGGTCTGTTTTGCTTGCAATATTGAAAACAACAATTAGAGCAATATTAGAATTATATTAAAAACAAAGGAACGTGACTGTTTATAAATAATATTGAAGAGGAGATATTTTTAATTGGTATTATTTATATTTTCACTTGCTTTTCATACATCCATTTTATAACGCACATTATAGCTGAACAGCCTTCTATACGATGTACATTCAGAAAAATACCATATATATATATATATATATATATATATATATCATATTTATCAAAATGGTATATTCTGAAACAATATGATATGTTGAGGGATGTCGTACAATATAGAAGGATGTGCAGGTAGAGAAATGAGAAATTGTATTATCATACAAATATTTATCTATTACAAATAGCTAAAAATATACTAAATATCTCTAATGCAAATTTATCTACAATATTTCAATATATTGTAAATTTTAATAAAGCAGGTTACTTATTTTATTACTGAGATAATATTAGACAATATTTCTGTAAGCAGCGAACGCTGTTTTCCCGTGGAAGTAAACACAAGATCTGCCGCCTCCATCACGCCGACACTAACGCATGAATTAGTAAAGGAAGAGTCAGGAATTAGTAAAGCCAGCCAACATTTAACAGAGCAAGAGAGATGTTGGTTGTGATATCCGTGAATACGTAACACAAAGTTAGAAACAAGATGATGCTGGGGTATCGGTACCTAGGTGTTGGGGCGTCGTGGTGTCGCTTAGGTCTTTCCCCAGACAAGAACCAGTAAGTAACAGGTTGTGTCATAATTGACAGAATGACAGGTCGTCTGTATGGGTAAAGATGAGTTCCTCATGCACAGATGCTCAGTTCAGTTCGAGTTCTGTTCTGTTAGTGTTTAATTCAATTCACTTTGTTTTTCTTACGACAATTTTCCAGTTGTGTATCATTTGGCGATAGATATTTGCTTTTAAAAATGTTCAGAAAATTTAAATTGTTTTTCATATATAATGCTGTATTCCTCTCATGAAAATTTAAACAATTGTGATTGTAGCATGTCATAAATTGAGAACTTAAAGACAGTGTAATTGGTACTGGCAACCACAGTAGCTGTCATGGAAAAGCCTAGAGGTGGACACATGCTTACAACTATGGGTGGAGCCCACATCATCCATCTCTCCAACCCTTATTTTTTTGCAGGAAGAGACTTTTGATCTCTCTGTGGTAAGAGGGGGTCACCCTCTGCCTACTGTTGTTATTCAGAGTGAGTCTTATGTTGGTGTGGAGCTCCATCCCAAGCCCATCTACATATATCTCATTAGTGGGCTCCAGGATTTCTGGGAATGTAAACTAGTCACTTTATTTCCCATTCAGTCATTTAATAGGATCAAAGAAAATTTATCATTGCTAGCTCACTTTGCTAAATTGATACTTGAATAATATGGTGTGATATAATTTGTCATTTCTCTGGCCCCACCCTACCTTCATCTCTAACTTCACCCTACTTTCATCTGCCTGAAGTTTTAGAGTGTCTTTTCCCAAGAGACTGTCCTCTTCTTGAGGGGTCCTCCCCCTGATTAGTGCAACCTCTGTGAGGCTCTGGGGGTAGGGACAGACAAGATTCTTCATGCTCTTGTAGTGCACTCTTTGCTCCCTTCTCAGCAACAGCTAAGTTTATCCCAAAACTAGGTTTGATGTGTGCTGATGAGCATCCCTTGTGCCTGGTGACCCAGTTCAGTTTGCTCCAACTTAAACTGGAAACTTTCTGCAGTTCTTTGGTATTATATGGCAATGGACCTGCCCGCCAAGCCTGCTCTCGCTGTGTGCGACTTAGTGGGATGCATCTCAGTTTTGGCTCATGCTGATGGTCATTCCCATATCCACCTGTTGGGTGGAGAGTAGCTTCCACTCTGAGGCCTGCAATATGTGCATCTGTCGCCTCTTTTGTCTGTGATCTCTTTTATATGGCTTTGATTTTGTTGACTTTTGCCTTTGGTTGTAGGTTTGGGGAGATTCACGCTCACTTTTGACTGTGAGAGTTTTGTTCTTTAGGCCGTGGTGGCCCTTTTGGCTCCTCCAGCTTACCAACCAGTCTGTCACTGATGTGTTTCTAGTGCATCACAGTAGTACTCCATGGTACCATCTTTTGCAGCAGGTCCCCAGTGCTTCTATACTAAGTGCCAACCATCCTGAAACTTGTCAATTACTTCCCTGGGTGTTCATTCATTTAGCACTGTCCTTGTACTGACGGAGTAACTTCTCTAGTGTGTTCGAGAGTTCACCCTTTTGAGGCCAGACCTCCCCGGTGGAGTGCCTTCTCTTGGGTATTTCAAGGGTTGTTATGACTACAGCACCGTAACACTGGTTAGTCTTGGTTTTCTTACATTCACCAAGGAGCTACCACAGAACCTGTCTCAGAAATCCAGCACTGAATTTAATGAAATGCTCCTTTCTGGTGGGCCCTTCTGTGGCTTCCTGTTCCTGACATTCCCCTTTTAGGGGCTTCGGTTTCTTTGGGCGGCACGTGTCTGATTTATTGATGCCAGGCAGGCCCTGGACTCCTTGGGCCACCATCTGGCAGCGGGGGTGTGTAACTAATGGGGGTAATGACAACTACTGTGTTCCTTGTTGTCAGGGTTGCTTATATTTCCTTGCAGTCATTTTGTTATGACTCACTATACTTTTGTGGTGGCCTTTTCTCTTGGTTTGGGTGAACAGGTATCCTCTGCTCCCTGCAGCTTTATGAATGGACCAGGAGTGGAAGCATTTGGTCTCTGGTCTGCAGGTTTAATGACGTAATCAGCAGGTGACATAATCTGACTCCCAAAGACCTGGTGTGACACAATACATGTAGAGCTTTCCAGGTGACAAACACCAGGGAGCCACCAAGGGACTCACCAGAGAGAGACATTTTATTACATTCAAAGCTGGATTTTGTTTTTAAATGAAAATTCAAAAGTTGGGTTTCACTTACATTGATTCTTATAATACATTTACATTCTATTAATTAAGTGCTTTCTTTTTCAGAGTATCAAATGTATTTTTAAGAGCCTACAGCCAGTATCCTCCTCACTTTGTGAAACCCATATATCAACCTGCTCAGTTGAATGAGTTAATTGAAACTGGTGAAAGCAAGAATCTGGAATTCACTCCAATTAAGGCGGCATATACAAATCACACCAGCTCCATCTTTCATGACCCAACTGTTGTGTATGTATTTTTAGCTGTATTTAATGTACAGTATCTAGAATAACTAGGTACTGTACTCTAAAATATTTAGGCATGTAGTATAATGGTCTGCATCCTCGACTCACATTTGAGGAGCCTGGGTTTAATCCTTGGGTGGAAGAGAAATGGTTTGGCAAGTTTCCTTTCACCTGATGTACCTGTTCACTTAGCAGTAAATAGGTACCCAGGAGCTAGTCAACTATTGTGGGATGCATCCTGGGTAAGGTCAATAATTGACCAAAGGCACTGGTTCCCAACCCCATTTGGGAGTCTTTTGAGTACAGTACTATATTAGAAAATAGGGCCACTCCCAAAAAAGGAGGGAAACCACTGACCTTAGGGGACCTGGATAACCCTAAGTACAGTTTTCCTGTCCCCCTGATAATGGGAATTATTACATTGCTCGTGGAATGAAAAACAACATATTTTTCAAGTTGTATCCTTTTGCAAATCATTAGTTTCAAATGCAAAGTAATAATGTGTTTTGAGAGTAATGTTAAAAGAAAGGATCCTGGTAATTATCTTAGTGTAATTACCTAAGTGTAGTTACAAGATGAGAGCTATGCTCATTGTGTCCCATCTTCCCAGTACAGTTTGTCACATAACACTTTAAAACTATACTACTGACAGTGTTAGCCTCCATCACCATCTTCTCACTTGTTGCAATAATCCACACAGCACCTTCAGTGGCTAGGGTTGGTTTGAGAAACAAGGTCGGCATTGTTCTCCCTCCCTGAAGCTTCATTGAGCTGTTTTTTTTCCCACATACATCCAGCCATTGGACAGCTCTGACTTGTGATGATCTAAAGCATCTCCAAGGCCACTTGAACTATACAGTAATTGCATTGTCTTCCCTTTGTCTGGGTGTTGTTGATTGCTTTTTACCAAAGTTTTTGTTATGCACACACAGCTTATATCAGTTTTGACCTTTTGTCAATACTGTATGTATGAATCAGTTATGCAGAATTGTTGTGCTGATTTTGGGCTAAAAACAACTCCAGGTCATATTGGCCGGCCATGCCTGAGCCCAGAATTTTAGCATCAACTGAGAAGACAATTGAAGTTACACTTAACATGTCGGTAATACAGTACTAAATCATTGACTTTAACCTCCTAAGCTGACCAGTTCCTCAGAGAAGTTAGTTTAGTTTGTTTATTATGCACCCCATACCCATCCTGTGGGTGGTAGTGGAAAGGGTTACAAAGGCACATAATGGGCTCTGGGACTGAACCCCAAAAATCATTTAGCTAAATAAGTTACAGTTTTGATGAGCTAGTTACAAAATTCAATACACATTGTCACATCATCAATGACCTCGAGATTGACCACAAGTATAGTCTCTAAATTAAACAACTAATATATGTGGTAATATGTCATAATTGATATGTTTATCTGGCACACTCCCCTGTGTAGGCAACGGTGAAACTTACAATCACCCACAGTTACTACCTGCAGTTAGCAATCTAGGAATATTTAGCTAAAATTTCTGGTAGCAGATCATTTTGAATTAAATATATATATGCTCAGAGGATGCAAAACATTTGCTGAATAATGTTGTAGCAGTCTCTTTAACCCTTATGGTTCAGTATGCATCTACTAAGAATAAAACCCAGTTCACTGTGACATGGGAATTTTGTCAACTGCTTAACAAAATGGTTCCCAGATGGGGATGACAGTTTAATATGTAGGAAAAGGATTAATCACATATGATCATGTGTATTAACATAGTAATTTATTTCTGCTTAATTCTATGTACAATATTTGGTTCAGAGTTTCTCTGTTCACTTTAATCCTTCAACTGCACGATACAACCAGGGATGTTCTCGCCATTTATCTATACACTGTGTGACCCAATCAGGGTTTTTTAAAGTATAGCATAAGATTTAAAACTCCTGTGGATACATAGGACCTGCATCCACTTCCTCAGGCCTCCAGTAAACAGATGGCACCTTGAAAAAATATTGTGGGCACCCCTCCTGGGTGTGAAGTGACTTGTACTAAGCCATCAGCCATGAGTGTTATAAGCAACAACTCTCAACACTGCCATGCAGCTTGTGCCCACAGCATCACTTAATGATGATGAAATGTGCGTAGTGTATCGGGCAACACTTTGCTTTGTCAGGTACAGTCAGCAGTTGACGACTGTGCATGGCTATGCTGTTTATGCTGTTCATGGGTCAGTGCATATGAGATTATCATACTCACCAGAACTGTTTAGTGGTTTGGAACGGAGCATAACCATGTAGGTATTTATATATAACATGTGATTACAGTGTGATAACAGCAAAAATAGTATGTTTTAGTATTCTAATACAGTATTATATTGTGGTGCACATATTAGTTACAATAATATATCTATGCATACCAATGTTCTACATGTTCCGAGTTATAAATATAAATGACTGCCCGAAACACAATGTGTGTTAGTGGCTTTGCAAGAATGTAAAAACACTGTTATGTACTCTTACAAATACAATGTACATTCTTGTATATATAATAGAATAAATAAATACAAATATCATTATTGATAGCCAAATGCATCAGTGCACTTGAAAAAACCATGCCAAAAAATATTAAAAATGTGAAGAAAATAAAATATATTGAATGCTTGCACTTAGAACTTGAGGCAAAGTGTGCAGGGCTTGGATCCATAGTTACGAGATTATCACTCGCACCAGAATGGCATAGTGGTTTGTAACAATGCATAAGCATGCAGATACAGTAGTTATATGTAACATGTGTAACAATGTGATAATAGCAAAAACAGTACATTTTATTGTCCAAAGAATATAATAATGTGTGTATATTAGTGACACAAATGTATTTGTGTGTATCAATGTTCTGTACATTTTATTATAGAAATTTCTCAAATTACACACTATTGCATGATATACCTGCAAAAATCAAGTGAAAAACTAATCAGTAACACTGAAATAAATCAGTATAAATATATTCATGGCAACTCCCACCTCACACGTGGCCTGGGCGACCTCCTCGGGACATCTCAGCCATCACTGCACGTGAATTGTGACATCCTCATGAGACAACTTCTCTCCATCACTGCCAAAATAAGCTACATCATTTTTGTTTAAATTTCCTGTGATCATGGAACTATTAGATAAATATAAATTTTGATAAATGCCCAGAGTAAATTTGAGGGTAATTTTATGTTATTTTGAATAATATGATCAACTTAATGAACCCCTGCATTTTTAAATCTTTGAATTTTTTTTTTTTAATTTATCGTTTTCTTTTTCAGTAAGTTTACAAATTACGTGATGAAGACTGGAAGAAGAGCATTAGCAAGAGAGCTTGTAGAAAAGGTATTTAGATTTATTGAGTTACATTTAAGCCAACTAAACTTATGCATTATGTGCATTAGCATATAAACACAGCCCCCAGGTCACATGACAGAATTCTGGATTATCTCTCATCACCTAGGTTTACATCTGCCTCTTCAGTCCTGGATACCTTTTTAAGTTTTTTTTTCTGGGGGGAGCCCCTAGTGGCTTCCTGAAACTACTACTGTATACTGTACTGATATAGTGCCAGACTACAAAGTGCCATCGGTTGTGGAGTTCTTATTGGCCTACGAGGGACCATGAGCCAGAACCTGGCCCCCCTTCCCCCTCAGAGGAGCAGAGAGCTGTAGCACTATGACCAATTTTATGTCAATTTATTCATGTCTGCTACTGCCAAGAGAAGGCATCCAGAAAGCAAAACAAAGCAAACCACTGCTTGGTAAAAAAAAAAAAGACTGCAGCCTCAAGACAGCCAAAAGAACTACCCCTAACAGTGTAGACCGGGTCAGCCAGCTGCTCGGAGGAATCCAAACAGGTGGTCACGTGTGATCTTAAGGGCGGATACTTTTACTTAGATAAAAGTATCCTTCCTTACATTCATTTTTTTAGGTTTTTAGTTTTATGGATGAGAGTACTACTAGTCAATCTGGACCAATTGAATGTTGTCTACTGACCCACCTAGCATCTATTATGACCCCTTACGTATTGCATCAATGTCAACTTGCCTGATTGTGCTTGATCTTGTCCTATGAACACAGCAGGTCTTGCCTTAGGAAGTACTGAGTGTGTGCTCAGAAATAGTGAATGCTGTATTATGTAAACAAAATAAAATCTACTCTGAAAAAAACAGAAACCATATAAGTTAGGAAAGAATCCTTTTCAGATCATTCTGTTATAACAGGGTTCAACTGTGTCACAAGTATGTTGTATTTGAGTCAACATTTATTATTAATTATGCTGTACGGAGATAATTGTATTAAACATAGATGAATAGAATTTAAAAGGTATTTGTAACTAAAAAGGTTATGAAATGGATCAAGTATCGTACATATGTCACCTCTTTTTAATTAGTAGGATCTTTTCAGACTTTTGAGGAACTCAAACGAATACAGCTACAGAAATGGAATGAGGCAGTAAGTGAGGAGGAAAAAGAAAACATTGAATGCAACCCACTCACTATATTTCATCAGGCTGTTGAGAATGGTCGGCCTCTGTTAATGTTGATTCCCATTAAGCGAGGAGGCATAACTTACCAGGTGTGTGGAAGGAATGCATCAACTTATTTTTGTCTCTTGCTTTTGCATATCACAAAATGCTTTTGAATTTACAAAAGTTTAAGGTTTGTTTAAAAAAGTTGAGTTTTAAGTTTAAAAGTTGATTTGAAAGCTTAAGTTGAATTTAAAAATACACATCAAAAATACTTTTGAGTTTGTATGCAAGGTTTAGTTGTCTATAAAGTTTTGGTTGATAAATTAACTTAATTTTGTTTTTTTAGTGCAATCCATAGCATAGTTATTCTTTTAGTTATTTACTAGTAATTTATTTGGTGGAAAAGCTTGCCATCACTTGGGAAATATTTACTATCGGTGTGAGGCTCGTATTATTTCTGGGGGGAGTCCTGTCGGCTCCCCGGAGCTATCCAGGCTGATATTGCTAATGTCAGACTTTGGCATCGGTCATGTGTATGGAGTTCTTAGGCTTACCTGGGACCACAAACCAGAACCTGGCCCCCTCAGAGAGGCACGAGGAGCAATGGGCTATAGAAACCCCCATGTGGTTGGAAGCATTCTATGTCTGCCATCGACCGGGTTAAGCACCCAGGAAGGTAAGCGTCCCAAAACAATCCCTTATTCTGGTTAAGAAGTTTCTACTGAGAGCCAAACTAGTGGACAGAACTCCCAAATTAAAAACGAGCTAACGCTCAGCTCTGTGCCTTGTGGCATGGTGGCTATCTTATAAGGGGTGTGCGAGCCAGGAGTGATTCTTCATTACTCGGGCTGCATGAGCCTAGGGTTACCCTCCCTAGGTGCCCAATAAGTACTGCCCTTGGGGCCTGGGGCCACCTTCAATAGGTTCCTTGTGTTCAGCCTCTGCGTGGCCATTTACTACTCAGTTTTTGGCCGCCCGCTAGGGTGTTTTCCCTTGTTCACCTTTGGGTAAGGGGTAGTTTGCACTGGTGAGGGGCACAGGGTATTGCGCAGCTTGTTTTCACCAATCATGGCGGCTGGCTCTGTTCCTTCTGGGTACGCTGTCCTCTTGCAAGGTTTTCTTTTTTGTTTTGTTTACCTGCCTGGTGGGGGGGGGGTCTGCCTTGGTTATTGCCCCCCTGTGTACTGAGTACTCTTCTCTCTTCCGGTGGTGCCCCCCTGCTTGGTCCCCGTGAGTGTACACAACCTGGGGGTTCAGTTCTTAGAAAGATGTTTGGTAGACTTGGGCCCCGGTTAGCAGTACCCTGCCTGGACTTTCCTGAGCGTGAGTTCCGTGTCAGGACCCTGGGAATCCCCACGGTGGCGCATGGGTCCGATGGATGTGACCTCTGAATCCCTCCTCGCTTTGTGCGAGTTCGAGGGTTGCTCTGTCCCCGTGTCTCTGAGTGATTCTCACTGTTTCTGTGGGGAGCCCCTACGGCTCCCTGGAGCTTATCGGGCTAATGTATGTTATATAAGACCGGAACATTAGCTAAGGAGTTAGACCTACCAGGGACTAGCACCAGAACCTGGCCCCTTAAGAGAGGTTTCAGGGAGCAATGGCCCTGAAAAACCCCCTTGTGGTTGGGGTTTTCTTTATCTGGCATCGATCGAGGTTTGCACCCAGAAAGGTAGGCATAACAAAACAAACCCCACATGGTAAAAAACTAAAACAAAAAAACGAACAGAGAGTTAAGAGACTCCCTACAATCCCAAGGAAATAAGCAAACATCACACTTTACTGCCGCGCCGATTGTCTGTGCAGCCCTCCCCACCCCGAGAGGGGGAGGGGGGAGCCCCGGACCTACTGCGCCGTTCACTGTGGTTATTCACTGCCGTGTGTTGTGTTTTGCGGTGGCCAGGAGTACCTCATCAGTGCCGGGGCTGCATGCGCTTAGGGGCTTCCTTCCCTAAGCACCCTGTGTGTACTGCCCCTGCGTGACAGGGTTACCTTCCCCGAGGCGTTCGGGAACTATTCCCGTAGAGGTTCTTGCTGCTCGGCATTTGCCTCGCCCTTGGGGCCAGCTGGGGCTTGGGGGCCCTTGTTTGGCCCTGGGAAGGGACTGGTATTGTGCTGGTTAGGGCGTCAAGGTGTTGCGCGACCTGCCACCTAAGCGGCGACCGGTTCCTGTTGCCTCTGGAGACGGTGTACTTTTGCAGGGTTTTTCTTTTGTTTTTATTTTCATTTCCCTGGTGGGGGTCTGCCTAGTGTGGCTATAGTTCCACTGGTAGTGTTTGGTGGCCCTCTGCTAGGCCCCCGTGATTGTACATGTCGCAGGAGTTATCAGTGTTGTCCTCTACCCCCTTGTTATTTTTGGGTGTTTAACCGGTTAGCAACACCTTGCCCGGGCTTCCTGTAGTTGTTACCCCTATGGGCCCTGGAAATCCCTGTCGGGGCTCGGTGGGCCATTGAATGTGTCTTCCGGGCCCCAACCTGTCTTGTACGGGATCGTTGGTTGCTGTGCCCTTGTCTCCGGGTGACAGTCGCTACTATTTACCTCTGTCATGTTGCCTGTTGGGTCACTGACACCTTGACCCGGAGTCTTGCGAGAGAGATTCTCTGCTTGTTCTCCAGTACTCTACTGATGTTATTACTGTTCAGAGTACAGGCGGCATCAGTGTTGCAAGCTAGTTTAGGTTGCTGCAACATGCTAGGTTGGTTTCCCACTTGGATGCCTCGAAGCCGCCCTGTTTTGGTTAGGTGCTGTTTGCCCCTTTCCCTCCATGTTCCCGGCTCCGGACCATCTGCGGGTTTCGGAGTCGGGGCGGGGTTTAGTTGGGGCCGAGACTCGGGCGGTTTTCAGGGGCTGCTCAATTCGGGTTGAGGACGGAGGTTTTCTAGCCTGTTCATCCTGCCAAGGCTTCTGGGGCTTACCAGCGGCCCTTTTCCTGCTGCCTTTCCTATGGACTCTTCCTTTTCTTTAAGGGCGGAGGGCTTGGAGGACGGCTCTGCCCCAGGGCCTCTGTTGCGGGTTCCCGGGGCTGTGGGGGATGCCTGCTAGTAGTTCTGGGGCAGTTTGTCCCCCATCTGGGTTTTCTGCTTCTGGGCTCAGTTTTTCGCCCATCCAGTCTGCTTGCTTCCCACTTTTGCTGGCGTGTTTTCGTATCTTTTGCGTCCATCACAGCCCTCTGTTCTGGTGGCCATTTTCTTCTGCCGGTTTTCCGGCGTGGCCACCAGGGCGGCGTTGGGGTTTGTTTATACAGTAATTACCTAAGTATAATTACCTAAGTGTAGTTACAGGATGAGAGCTACGCTCGTGGTGTCCCGTCTTCCCAGCACTCTTTGTCATATAACGCTTTGAAACTACTGACGGTCTTGGCCTCCACCACCTTCTTCCCTAACTTGTTCCAACCGTCTACCACTCTGTTTGCGAAAGTGAATTTTCTTATATTTCTTCTGCATCTGTGTTTAGCTAGTTTATATCTATGACCTCTTGTTCTTAAAGTTCCAGGTCTCAGGAAATCTTCCCTATTGATTTTATTAATTCCTGTTACTATTTTGTATGTATTGATCATATCACCTCTTTTTCATCTGTCTTCTAGTAATGCCATATTTAATGCCTCTAACCTCTCCTCGTAGCTCTTGCCCTTCAGTTCTGGGAGCCACTTAGTAGCATGTCTGCACCTTTTCCAGTTTGTTGATGTGCTTCTTAAGATATGGGCACCACACAACTGCTACATATTCTAGCTTTGGCCTGACAAAAGTCGTGAACAATTTCTTTTGTATATTGCCATCCATGTATTTAAAAGCAATTCTGAAGTTAGAAAGCGTGGCATAGGCTCCTTGCACAATATTCTTTATATGGTCCTCAGGTGATAGTTTTCTATCTAGAACCACCCCTAGATCTCTTTCTTTATCAGAATTCTTTAAAGATTTCTCACATAATACAGTGGTACCTCGCATAACGAATTTAATCCGTTCCATGTTCGTCATGTGAAACGGACGTCATACAAAACGAGTGTTTCCCATGTAACCAGTGTGATGCACTGTGTTTATTGTGAAATTCCCCCAGTGTGCATGACATCAAATGTACCCCAAAATATCATTTTTCTTTGTAAAATTATAAATTACCATCCCTGAACATGTCTATGTAAAAATAATTACCAAATTCCACTTACTTTGGCTGTGAGGGCGTAGACAAGGTTTGCTGTGACGTCATCAGGGGCTGGTCGCCCGTGTGTGAAGCTCCCAGACACGGTCGCGCAGGCCATTCAAGCACAGCGTTTTGCCACAAATATATTTTCAAATATTTTTTCTATGTATTTCCAATGCGGTTTTATTTGTTTCTTTTGTCATATATGATGCATATTTGTGACCTTTACAATATGTATACAGTAGAATGTTCATAATTTTCCATGAAACTGTGATACATGTGTCAGTAATGTGTCCACAATAAATGTTTATTGTCACAATATTACGTGGTAAAAATTCACTAAAATTACAATATGTACAGTTTCACATACTATTTACACAGTAACACACTGTATTACACACTGAGTACTTTGGAGGTGCGTAATAGTCAACGAAGTACACAGGTACACAGCGTGGCTTTGCTCTCCTTGCACCAGCTACAGATAGATTTTCGTTTCCTGTTTCATCGTTTTGTGTGCTTGCAAATAACGCACTCGCGTGCACCCTTGGCTATAGTACTTGTAGGTGGTATGTAGCCAAGCTTGTAAAGCATAAGGTAGTATTGAAACGATTATAGGAAAAGCTCAATTTGTAAGGTAGTCTTGAAAAGATCGCTTTGTAAGGTCCCACACAGGAAGAGATTCAGCTAGCCTCAAAGAGTGTCCATCAGTCAGGAAGAGATTCAGCTAGCCTCAAAGAGTGTCCATCAGTCAGGAAGAGATTCAGCTAGCCTCAAAGAGTGTCCATCAGTCAGGAAGAGATTCAGGTATTCTTGAAAATATCAATGAACACCACCACCATGGAAGCCGCTAACACTGTTCATCTATGCTACTGGTATCAGATGCATCATCACTGAACGCAGAAAACGATTCATCTATGTATTATCTATATAAATTCGAGATGGCAAGGGTGGGGCTCAGAGCTACAACTGGATACG